TTTTGCAGATTTTACCACAGTTGCCTGCATTCTGATTTCACCTATGCAACGGTAACATTATTATACTCGATGTTCTACTATGATTGTCTGTTGTCATATTATTTTTTATTATTATATTTTTATTTTGTCATAGCTTAAGTGACACAATTTCATCGCCTCATCGTCATTGCTATCATCAATGCTCCTTTCAATGCTGTTTTTCCGCTCATCTCAGTTTGACATTTGTTCAAGATTTTTTGCTGTTCAATTTTATTTACTTTTCTGAACCTTGCCCTCAGAGCTACAATATGTAGAGTATTTTTAGTTATTTTTATTTTATACAAATCATTGCTTTTATTTCGGAATGTTCAGTCTTAAATTAATATATAAAAGTTATTCTGAACTTAATGATAAATTTTTGAAATCAGTAAAATCATGTGCAATATACAAACTATTGAAGTTATTTCATTATAAATATATATTATATTAAATATGTTCCAATATACACAACAGAAAGATGTTAGTAAATCCACGTTACTATTGAAAAAGATTTCTTAATCTGAGAAACCGAATTTATCTATTATTAACCGTTGTCTAGCGTTCGATCTCTTAAGTATGTTATTTTATTGACTTACTTATTTGCCCATTATAACCCCTTATCGCGTTTCGGTCTAACACAGCACTCGTTTCTAGGGGCCCCTGCTGTCGTTCTCCAGTCTCGTATCAAGCGCAGTTAGTGATTCGTCATCTTGATTCGGAGTCACGGTCTAACCTCTACATCTTCTTCCTAATTAACGTTCAATTTGAATCCCACATACCCAATCCACTCCTTATTATCATTCCTCCACCTCATTCATCCACTTTCCCGCCCATGTAATCGTCTTGTATATCCTTACATGTTATTTGCTTATAGGTCCCTGCGGGTTACAACAACAGTAACCTACAGAGCATAAGTTCCGTCAGTCAAAAGAGGGCTCTACATCCCAATTGCCTATTGAACCCATAGTAGCACCTATTGACAATGTTAATTTTTCGTCTAATTTCCAAGCGTAGTCTACGTTGTGGTTGAACTGAGTAACCTACTTTTTTATTTCAGACAATTGGTATACGATTTAAGCTTTTTTAATTTATATTTATCATTTTTTGACTAAAAATTAATGGTTATACGGTACACTTTTCTTTGATACTCCATTAAAATGGAAAAATAAGCCAATCCGTTTTTCTTTATAATTTTTCTTGTTTCATGTGCAAGGCTGGATCTCTTAATATATGGGAGGAATACAGGACATACATTCTTGTTAATATAGAATATTATAAAATTAAAAATAACATTTTGTGTCCGAATGAATCAGGTTAGGAGTACACAAGTATTTAAATGAAATTTATTCTATATGTTAACTTATAAATATTAAAATAAGTAATATTGAACAACAATTTACTGAAACATTCTATGATAAATAAGTAGGGCAAATAGAATGGTCTATAAGGTAATGTACTCAGTTTACAAAGTTAATCTAACATTAGCATGACTTTTTTCTAACTATAATCTAATAAAAACTAATATTAAAAAAAAAAATATTAATAAATATAACAAATTTTTGTAAAATTGTGCTTTAAGTGTTGTATATATTGATTATATGTGAAATCAAATCAAATAAAGGAAATCACTAAAAAAATATATAAATTTTTTACAGGTCTTGACGCTTTAGTACGTGAATTCAAATCTGGGCGTGTGACATTACGTCGAAATCGTCGCAAAACGAAAACCAACGATGCATTGCAGGAAATGTTCCAAGTCTTAGAAATAAGTCAGAAACAAAATAGGGACTCTAAAATATGTATCGATATGCATATCTAAAAAACTTTCATTATTCTACTATAACCATAATCTAGCTCGCATCTCAATTTAACCTCTGCCAAACGTCTTCAACAACGAATATACGACTTCTTCATCAAAAGGAATCAATAATACTTAAGTGCCTTATACTTACAATTTAATATATCTATTTTAAATATCCATCAATATGATGGATCAATATATACATACATATATACTAAAAATTAACTGGCTTATTGCTTTTTATACGCTTCTTGTGAAATCAAACTATAATACATATTTTAAATATTAAATATTAAATATTTTATATAATCTTTTTTGCTCTTAACTACACGCTTAAAGCTTATTTCTTCTGTGGTCATTAAACAATCCAATTTCCTAAAGGAATATTTTCTATTAAAATTTTATTTATTTTTTTTAAGTATTTTTTATATATATTTCAGTTATTATTGCTGTGTTCATTTATATAATTATATTAAAATCTATATATTTATGTTACATACATATATATTCTAAAATTTGTATGTCATATATTAGTTACAAAATAAGTCTTCCTCCACACAACGATATATTATGCGAAATTTTATGTACTACTTTTTAATTAAATAAAATAATATTAATAAAAATTATTAAAAAATTATTATTAAAGATATCTACGCTTTGGTGCAATTCTGTTGAATGTGTGGATTGTGCAAGTCTGCATCCACACACATTCAATATGATTGCACTACAGCGTGGCTGTCCCTATTTTATTTTTGTGAGTTCCAATTAAGAGTGGCTAATAAATAGGGCAGGAAAGAAAATATGTGGTTAATAAGTAAAAATCTGAACGCAAATCATTTATCAAAAAAGCAAAACTTAAAATACTAACATAAGAGAGACCCTTCCCGAAATAATGCGAAACCGTCTCCGCGATGGAATAAGTCTCTCTGAAGAGGAGAGGTATATATATACAACATATGAATATATTAGAGAATAAAGCACACTAGATCGAGACGATGATTGATTTGACGATGCATAAGGTATTTCGCCTCCTCACAAAAGAAAAATTATAGGAGTTTTTTTTTTATAATCATCTTTTAATAATTAAATCATTATTGGAATAACTTAATGCAGAATGCTACAATATGAGCTGTTAGAGATATATATGACAACAAAGTATTTAATGTATGCATTTTTTTTGCATTTTGCAAATTACTACAACAAGCGACAATAGTCTAAATCAGGGCTGTCCAGGCTAGATGTGATCGCAGGCGAATACAAATCACTGTACAGATTGAAGAGCCGCAGAAACAAATACATATGTTTATAGCTGTTTTCTACAAAAAAAAAATATAGTTATGTTAAATTTAGTTTTATTAATTTAAATTCATTTATTTGGTATATCATAAAAATAAAATAAAGTGGATTAAAAACATTGATGTTTATATCAATGTACGCTCAGTGTACAAAAGCTTAAATATTTAACCTGTTGGCGCTCAATTGGGTTCGGACATGGTAACATTGCATCAATCTATACGATTGATGGGAACAGTGAGTCGGATTACTTACGTCCTCGCTTATGCTTCAGTAAAAATTTTGCCGCATAAACTCATTCAAGATGGGAATGGGAGGCACGCTTGCTTACAACGTTAGGAAAGACTGCGATCTATACCGACGGGTCTAAGATGGACAAAGGAATTGGAGCCAGTATTGTTTTTTACTTTTTTACACATTCACAAAAAAAGGCAGTATTCATGTATACCAATTTTCAATCTGAAAAATTCATCAAGTGTAGCAAGCAAACCATGTCTCAAGTTTGACATGGGTCAATAAGCATTCTGTTGTCTTTTCAATACAAATTACTCCATTTTACACTGAAAATTATAATCATAAACTACAATATTTTATACAGTGTATTTAAAGTAAAATTCTAAGTAATGTAAGTAAAATTCTTTTAAACTTTTTTTATTATTTGTGTACCGACGAATTATGAAATTAATAAGAGATTGAGAATCATTGATCTTGCAGCTTAAAAACCAAATAATTATAGAAGTAATCTGCGTAATCAAAAAATTATAACATTTACTTAATTGATTTAGGAAAAAATCAAATGTGCAATGCGGTTAGCCCACCTGACTATGTGCCCACTACCAATGGCAATGGTATCTAAGAACACTTCACTTCGTCATCAAGTAGAGTCTAATCCCTAGAATATATACCAGTTTCATATC